AATCTTTTATTTTACAAGCATGTGAATTCTATGACCAGTTTTCCAACATTTGGAGAGAATTCACTTAAAATCCAGCCAGCCAGGTAAAAAGTTCAAACTAGCTTGATCTAAACCAGTATTTCCAGATATAATCCAATACTGAGCAGCCTTGGGGATGTTACTAGTGTCTATTTTCTGTACACATCTATTTCAAGATTTAGTTCAATCTTTGAAAGTGTCATATGAGCTGAGAACTCAGGAACATTAATTTGAGAAAATAAAAAAGCCAAAATGAAACCCCAGGCAATGAGAAGCACAAAGGAGATGGAGCACACAGCCATGTGAGCATGGATGGAAGGAGACATTTGCTGAGGCACCACACGGACTCAGAAGGAAGCTGTCCATGCCAGCCCATCAGCATCTCCATCCTGGACCTTTCCAGGGATGTACCTGCAGCCTTTCCCACCAGATCTGGCGGATGATCTCACGGCGCTCTGGGACAAGTTTGTACTGGATCACCTCTTCCAGCTCTGACAGCATCTGGCAGGATACCATGGCCTGAAGGGAAAAAATCACATTCCATCCCAATCACTGCAGAACAAATCTATCATTAAGGAGCAGTATTTTGGCATCAAAATCTTAAGTACATAGGCTACCCAATAGACAGACCAACTGCTATATACTGGTACCTAGATGACCTGCTGATTCAAACTCATTAAATTAAATGTCAACTCTTATTGACATCCCAAACGTCAATTCTTATTTCTTTTGAGGGGTGGACCTCACTTCACTCACTTTTAGTCTGTCCCAAAGCTGCTCCTGCACAGTTGTACTTTTTATCTGCCAAAAGCCATTTGGCTTGTGGGCCCACATAGGTCTTATGTTGGAGACAAGCACTGCTCTGAAGTTTTGTGCAACTTTTAGAGATAGTCTGAAGCAGCAATGAAGGAAGGGAATGAAGGCTGCCTCTCATGTTTTGTGTTGCTGAAATGGCTCCTGAGGTGTTAAAGTCTCTTTTTCCCAGCCCTGTGACTGAAGAAGAAGTTGAGATTCTTTGGCTCTGCTTTTCAAGGTTGTTTATTTTCTCTTATCTATTCCATTTTTTCTCTGACCTGCTGAGATCTGTCTGGCAGGTTGGGTTGTGGCACACTGACCACCCTTGGGGTGGTGTTGGGTTTTTATACTGAGGACTACATGTACTTTATTTACAATAATTTTCCAATACCTATCACCTATGTTAGACAGTCTGTCTCTACTCTAAACCAATCCAGAAGTGCCACCATCCCAGCAGAAGATGGAGGAGAAGGAGAAGAAGGACAGGACATGCCCAGATTCCTCCATCTTGCCATTCTAAATCCCCAAAATTCTACTTTTTCACCCTGTGACAAATTAACCATCATCCTACTCAAACTCTTGTGGCTTGTAAATCCTCACACAAAGTTGGGAATTGTTTCCATGGGTTAAAATGGAAGGCAGAGGTGTTTTTGACTCTGTGCCAAGGTCTCTGAGCCCCTTGCCAGGGTCTGGAGTCCTCCAGGGCAGCCAGAGGAGTTCCTGGGTTCTGAGAGCTGCACTCACCCCATAGGCTCGACTGTAGCTCTCTCCTGCCATGGCAGTCAGCTCAGCATCCAGCAGGTCTCTGGCTTTGTCAATGCACTGAAACAGAAGAAGATTTTGGGGTTAAGGTAGTGTGCTTTATCTAGAGTCAGCTCCTGAAGCTGCTGCTCCATCTCATGAACAAAGCTGGCATTGCTCTCACTTTGCTCTCTCTGGGAAAGGATCCTGTAAATAGAAAGATTTGGCAGGAAAACAGTGGCCAGGGCATATATATGGGAGTCCAGGGACCTTCATTCATCACCTGCACAGTTTGAAGTTTTGCTTCCTAGACAATCAAAGTTTGCAGTATTTCTAATCCTACTGTGATTGTAGAGATCATCATTAACAACATTGGTGGAGGAAAGGTTCACATTTGAGTGTAAAAGAGCGTAAAGAAATGTCTCTTGATACCACACAATGCAAGAAAATAGCTCTCACTGTTTTACATAACCCAACAGGATTTTATGAATTTTACAGGACAGCAAATTTCATTCCTCATCCTCAAACTAAGACAGGCTCTTCAAGCATGAAATAAATCCTGCTCTAGTTCTAGCCATTATATAATCTCTCACCTATAGCTTTTCCTGTTCAAAATGTTAAAGGTTAATCACAAACTTTACCTTTTTGAATGCCTGGTTAATTTTACTGTGCACATCATCCAAAAATCTATCTATGGGTTTTGACAGCACAGATTGAATTACTCCTTTATCTAAGCTGGCAAGCCAGCACAGAATTTTGAGAAATGGGACTTGAGCTTCCTTGGAAAGTAAACAACACGTTTCACCTCTACAGAGTCACCCTGCAAATCTTATTTGTGACAAACAAGCATTACAAATACAATCATTATAAATACAAATATACAAGCTCTGTTTAATAGACTCATTCCTGACCTTGGAACCTCAATTTAAGATTTCAGATTTATCAGTGCTACCAGAAAAAATTAAGATTATTGTACATTATATAAATGAGCACTTCACTGAAAAAGCTGTAAGAGACAGAAGTGCATAAAAATCCATTAGGAATCATACAGGTGTCTCAGGCATTCCTGGAAATTTATAATTAATGCCTTTAGAACAGAACCTCTGCTGAGATCATCCTTGTGTCCTGCCTGTCTAGAAAAGAGGCACAGAATAAAAGAAGCCAAAAAATGTCAGAGAAATTCTAAAGTTCTACAGCACTGAACCACTACTATCTATCAACACATTCACTGCTATGTTTCTGGAAATATCTATCACCCAGGTCTAATATATCCATGAAAAACACATTATTGGGCAATTCATAGCTTATAGCCAACTGACTTATTACAGCCTGTTCTTCCATGAAACTCTGTAGCCTAGAACATCTTAAACCAAATTTTGGGCTCCCAATAAAGAGGATAATTACTTGCTGAGCCAGTGAGAAAAGGTCCTGATGCAGCGCCAGCACAGCCCTGTAGAAAGCGCCATCGTGGGTGTCCCTGGGGATCATGCAGGTGTATTCCTCCATGCTGTCCCACTGACCTGCAGAGACACAGAGACCCTCAGCAACAAACAGCTTCCTCTGCAGTGTGGGGGCAGAACAGATCTATGATAAAATGCTCAGACATCCATGCCTAGGCCTGGGTGCTGTGTGGTACTTTTGCATTTCAGTCAGCTCTCCAACAGCTTGTTTTCAGTAGGGACACTGTTATATACATAAACATACACACAGCTACAGACAAGAAAAAAAAGCATTTTTCTCCTAGACAAATTGTTATCCGGGTGGAAAAGGTTCTTTCATTCTTTGTGATGAAACAATTCAAATTCTGACACTTCCAGAACATTTGGATGAATGAATGCCTTACAAAGCAAATTATTAATTTTTCTCAGCAAAGGCTGGCAGAGAGCAAGTGATCCATCAGCCTCTCTAGAAAATATCTTGCTAACAACACAAATGGACATTTGGATCACTATGGATTTATTCACTTAAGATTGTCTACTCTGCAGACATAACCTCTTAAATGTTCTGCAGATAATGTTCTTGTTCTGAATAAGAATTTGCCACAAATCTGAGAAAGTATTTTAATCTTATTTCCAGCCTGAGTTCTGTTCAGTGCAAAGCCAAGCAAAAGTGAAAATTTAAGCAATCAATTATCTGCTCTCTCTGTTACTGGAGACCACAATGGGAGGCTTGATGTAAATCCAAGTTTTCCAAAGGACTTCCATATGGAATGACACTTGTCACATTCATATTTTCTGAAAAATCCCTTTGCCCAGGGTTTTTCTCCTGGGAAGCTGAGAAGCCTCAGAGAAAAGGAAAACAATTTTTATCTCATTTGCTTCTCCTGTGTTGTGCTCACGTGTGGAATGTGTTTGGAGGTTGTTTACCCACAGGTGATTGTTCCATTGGATTCTGCTGTGAGTTGTTTTCACTCTTTGGCCAATCAGGGCCAAGCTGTGTCAGGACTCTTTACAGAGTCCCAAGTTTTCATTATTACCTTTTTAGCCTTCTGTAAGTGTCCTTTCTGTATTCTTTAGTATAGTTTAGCATTCTTTAATATAATATAAATACAGTATCTTAAAATCTTTAATATAATATAAAAATATAGTATCTTAAAATAATAAATTAGCCTTCTAAGAACATGGAGTCGGATTCATCATTCCTTCCTGCCACAAGGGTCCCCCCACAAATACAACACACACTTCATTTCCCAATGTAAATAATGTGGTTACTTGATGTTGCTGTTTCCTGTATTCTGCAGTTCTGAAATAAGTTAAATCTATCTGTGCTTGCCCTCATGGGCTGGTGCAGGCCAGCACAGGAGGATGCCTTACCTAAGCCCCAAGCAGCAGCAGCAGCCATCCTGGCCATCTTAGCTTGAGTCTCATCATTCACCTGGGTCCACTTTTCACAGCATTGCTGGTGGAGCTGCCCCCTAAGAAGAATCCACAATTTCTGATCAGCAAAAAGGCTCTTCCAAGAATTCTGCCTCATTGAACAACCACTTCCCACTGATAAGACAACAACCAGTCCCACTGTTCTTTTTATACTGAGTGGAGAATGGGATTTGACTTCTCTGGTCAGTCTGATGACAAATATCCTATCATCAGAAAATAATTTCAAGGTACACCTATGTTTTGAAAATACACATCCAAAGAGAAGTTTGCATTTGTTCCTCAGTGACTGTTAATGCCTGCTTTAAAATTGGACTCATAATGTCAGTTTGTAAATACAGAAAAAAAATTCTCAAGGAAATGAACAATTCCCCACCAAAAAAAGGATGCTTCAAATTTTTGTGTCAGTGGAAGAAACATGATATGGATAGCTTGGGCATGGCTCCTACTAGCAAACATTTTGAATGAACACATCAAGTCTGAAGACAAAGACTGAAGAATGAATGTGGCTGTAACCTCATAGGAAGACTTGTCACGGCAGGATCTCAGAGGGCATCTGAGTCTTTCATCTCCAGTGGAGAGGAAGCATCAGGATTTTTTATATTATTTCTTTCAAATCAGCTGTGAATGCTGCACTAATAGAACCAATTACCCTGGGTGTTGCAGTTCCAGGATTTCTCAGGCTGGATACTCTGTAGCAGTGAAACAGCTGCCAACTGTGAGCGAGCACAATTTGCTTTCCCTGCTGTTATCCTCTCCCCTCCCAAAAAGGGAGAGGAGTTATTCAAACAGAACCAATGGGCTGCCACAGGCAAAACAGTAATTCTGACAGCTTAATGGCCCAGGAGGGAAAAAAACCCCAAAGCAAATGTAAAGCCAAGCCAAACCTAGCAACAGCAGTAAAGCAGGACCTCATAGATGCTGATAAAACACCATGGGTCCTACAGGAATAACTATATCAGGCTAAGAATGTTTTAGCTGTACACTAAAAATATCACAGCAGAGTACTGAAACGGTGATGCTGCACAATAATTCTAGATTATCTGCCTCATCCTGTGAAGCAGACTCCAGCAGCACAGGCAGTCAGGTTGAATGCTACTGAAGAGAACCAGCAGCCAAACCATGGAATCTCAGGCTCAGGATGACATCTCCAGAGTCAGCTGCAGGGCAGCAGACAGCACTTTGCAAAAGCATTTCTGAATTGTAAAAACACCTGCACAGAGTTGGAGTCCAGTCCCACAAGAGAACTTGGAGACTCTGATTGCTGTCATCACTACAGACTACCAATATATTCATGATATTATCGCCAAGAGAAGAAAATTGTCCTTTTGTTGTTCCATAGATTTGTTGCTGATGCATGAATAAGTAAGAGGTTCAGAAAGGACACAAATACACATCCTGCAGGGGGAAAAAAATTCTTCAAATCCCTGGTGAGAACAGGCTACTTGTATAAAAGCTGACTGAGGAATGCCCAGTAAGAGGACCTAAATTCCTTACTAGAAAAGCTACACCCTGTATGTCTCACCCTTATTTAGAAACAAAAAAGCAGAAAAATGCTGCCAGAATTATGTTTCTCAAGCAGCTCTGTTCCTAGCAGTAAAATGACTTTAGTGAAGAGGAATCTCCTCACTGTGGTGCCATCCCCAGGGTTCATGTCAGGACCCATCAGGAGTCAGTTTGTCACAGGCAAAGCTCAGTAGAAAGGCGGAACCTGGATGAACCCACACCTGCCCCTGGCTACAGCTGCACGCCACAGTGAGCAGGGTGCCTTCTCCAATTATCTTCTTTTAATTAAATAGCCAGAAAAAACAGAAGCCCCCAGTTAAGTAGCAAGCTGGAAGTCACCAGCAGCTCACCCTGTCACAAACACTGACTGGAATCAGTTTTGTGTTGACAACAGAGGTTTGACACAAAACTTGAAATACTAAATGTCCACAAAGACAAGGCTTAAAAATACTGAAAAAGACTGGTAAGGAAAACCTCATCCTTCTACAAGGCATTGGTCTGACACTGAATAAACACAGAATGGTGACATTTGAATCAGAGTTTAAAAAGGAGGGTCACAATGAGCTGCTTTTATGATTCTTTCTGACAAGTTCTGCTCAGTTAATGTTTCCTCTATCTACAATGTGTAATGTTTTCTCTGTCTACAATATTTAATGTTTCCTCTGTCTAGAGTTAATGTTTCCTCTATCTACAATGTCTTTCTCTGTTATAAATGGGGTTGACCTGATGATAAGATTGCAGATTCTCTTCCAGAAAAACCTTAACTCACCAGATGACCACTCCCAAAAGGCTCAGAGATGTCATTACTGATTCTGACTTCAATGAACAAAGTGAGATGCCACACAAATACTCAAAGTAAGTGGGAGTAAACAGGAATTCAGGCAAAAAATTTGCACCTGCAGACAGCATCCAGAGGAAACAAAGACACCATTTTCCTTGGTCTTCAGGCATTTCCCTCTTACCATTCCCCAAGTGCTTCCAAGCACCGCATCCGTCCCAGCATCAGCTCAGGATCATCTTTGTTTGTGTCCATCTTCTTGTCATAGGCCACCAGAGCATCCTCCCATTCGTGGAGCTTTTCATACCAGGTAGCTTGGATTTCCTAAGGGAAGGGGAAAAATAAGAAGTAAAAATAAACAGCAGGGTTAATGTTGATCATTCTGTATTAACTACCACAGCTTTTCCTAGGAAATTCTGTGTCTGCGCTGGTCACTTCATTCTGAATAACCTCAGGTGTCGCAGACATTTTTTCATAGAAATCCTTTCTTTCACATTTGTCCATCTTCTGGGAAGCAGAGCCCCAGAAGAAGAATGTAAACAATTGTTATCAGCTGCTGTGAAATGTAGCAGGTGTCCCTGTGATTGGCTCATCTTCCTTGTGTACCATTAAAGGCCACTCACAGGAGCAGCTCAGGGACAGATTCCCTGCACACAGAACTTTGTTATTCATTCTTTCTATTCTATTCTTAGCTTAGCAGCTCTCTGCAACTTCTCTTCTTATTCTTTTTAGTATAGTTATAATGTATTATATATCATATATAAATAAATCAAGCCTTCTGATCAAGAAACAAGATTCTTGTCCTTCTCTCACCCCAGTGACCGTCTAAGGGCGCTGTAATACTCAGGGACTTCTGTGACACAGAGAAGAGCCTTGAGCTAATGAGAAAACTGGAATCCTGGCACTGCCCCACCTGCCCAGAAATGAATAAAGTTCACCAGAGGGATTAATCCAACATCATCCCCTCACTCAGTGCCACTGAAACACCAGATCAGCCACCGAAACATCAGATCAGCAGCTGGTGCTTTCCTTTTTGGAGAGGTAGAGTGAGTGGAACAAGAAAAAGGGTAAATCTATAACATATTCCACTTCCCATTGCTGCACATACCTGCATTCAAACAAGACAAACAGCCCTGTGCTCAGGAATGGAATGACCAACTAGAAAAAAAGGCCAAACTTTGCATCTGGCTACTGCTAGGCAATTACTTAACATAGCAGGCACAGAATTGAAGTTGGGGCCCAATCACACCCTTCACAATGGAAGGCAATGGTTTGTAGCAAAGCCATTAAAAGTTAGCCAAGCAATGATCCCTACCAGTTAAACCCTTTTCTTCAGTCTTTCTAGATTTTGTTTCTCATTTTGAAGAAATAAAATGCCTTAATTTATTTCCATGCTTTTCTCTGCCAGTGTTTTTCTGCTCAGTCTTTGGCAGCTCCTGTCTTGACATGGGCTGCAGAGCAGATTATTTTCCCAGACCTGTGGGCAGGGTCACTATAAACCACAATTTGCATGCCAGGTCTTCCACTCAGCCCTTTAAATTCTCAGCAAAGTCATATTTCAATTAAGTCCCTGAAAGCAGAGCTCACAGCTCCTCTTAATTTCTTTTCTTTTAATTTCAATTCTGGCAAGCTCTGTGCTTTGAACTGCATTTACTGCTGGACTGTTGCTGCTAAAGAGTGAAGTCAGAGTTAGGTAATGCAGAACTTTGCTCAATCCACCCAAGGAATTATAAGAAGCTGCAAAGATGTTTTGAAGTCTGTACTTCTCCCAGAAAGGTCAAAACCACACATAATCCTACACCAGAGGGTTCCCACCATTTTGTGCTTCTACCTGGTTCCCACTTTCTGGTGGTTACTATTAAGAGAGGCTGATCTACTGTGCTTCCAGGGCTGCCTTCCTTTTCCTAATTATCCTAAAACTCTGCAGTAATTACCACTGCAAAATCATCTTTTTTACCAGGAGAGCATAGGTGGTTTGGTCTTTGAACACAAATTAAATGACTGATAAAATGAGAAGAAATAATAAAAGGTACATCATTCTGAGAAAGACACACAACAAATACAAAATGGGTTATTTGATTTTGGTGAGGGACTGGTTAACTTGCTATTCTAAATAATACCCATGAACACTTTTGAGAGAGAGTAGAGGTTAATTTACATTAAATCTTTATCTTGAGGGTGTTGATGCAGTTTCTCAAATCCTTTAAGCTTAGAACAAGAACTCCCTCCCTTCCCAGCTTATCCTAAATAAAAGGACTTGTGTCATCAAGTTGCTGGTTGCTCACAGCTGCATTTAGTACCAACAGCAGCTGCAAAATTCTCCTCCAAATCAGCTTTTTGCAGCCCTCCCTGTACCCAGCATTTGCTGCAAAGTGCCCACTGAACATCCCTGTAAGCAGCCTTTCTTTAGAACAGAAAAGAACTAAGAAAAAAAGACTAAAAAAAAGAAAGACTTAAAAAAAACCCAAAGAAAGCCCCTATAAAGGCCTTTCTTTATGAACTATGAAATATTTAAGCAGAGATAGAGCCTTGATGTGATTGATTGAGAAAACACACCCTCACCCACCAAAAAACCCAGTCCAGAAAGCACAAAAACACAAGAAGTGGATTATCCAGCAGGACTCACCAGCTCCCCAAAGTGCTTCATGGCATATTCCAGCACACCAGCAGCTGCTTCTGGCTGTTGGAGTTTATTGTTAATGCTGGAAAGGGAGGAAAAAAAAAGTTGATTTAACACAATTGGCATATTAGGGGTTGGTAGAAAGTTCTACTTGATAACACCAAGGTCTAACATTTAGAATTACCAATGGAACACTCTTTTTGTTTAGACTTCCACACAAATTAAACAATTAAACCACATAAGGCACACAATGACCATATGTTTTCAAAACACACATTCTCTGCACACAATCTGAAGACTTTTTACAGAAAATAGAGATGGTATATTTATGATTATCAATTCTATGTAACAGCCGGCATAGACAGAAAAATAGCTGCCAATAATTTTAAAGGCATGATTTTTCAAACAGCTGTACTTAAGAGTTTTACAGTACTAACTTAGACTCCTAACTCCTCCAAAAATCAATAAAGCAGGAAACAGTCTATATCATCAAAATAGCTGACAAATGTCACCAGGAAATTACATAAAGTGTGCAACCTAAATTTCAGTTTCACATTTCACACAAAGCCTCTGCACTGGCACTTTTCTTTTGCTGGTTTTCAAGAACATGCCAGCAACTGCTGCCATCACAGCCAATCCTCAGTGTGTACCAGGGAAGCACTTGTGTTGCAAGGCCTGCTGAATTTTATGAAGCACAAGCAAAAAGGCTGCTCTTGAACCTGATTCTCTAGCTCATGATGTGCAGCTATTCCCTGAAATAATTTCTATTTCACATTTGTTTTCTTATTTTATTATCGGGATGGCTCCATGACTTCCCCCTTATAAGAGGGCAGGGGATCAATAAAGAGAAGCAAATCTAAAGTATTGAAGGGAGTAATACACAGAGAAAAAAGGGGAAATTTTTCAAATGTTTGCTAAATTTCTTCTGTCTCTGGAAGCCTCCTTTCCTGACAAGAATCAAGCTCCCAGACATACTCTGGGTATCTGTGAAGGTTATGTAAAATACTCGTGGATATTGGGCCTTTGGATTGGTTGAACTAAAATCAGATTTAGCCACAATCACAGTTCAAGATGACTGGCACCCAACAACAGGAAGCACCTAAAACAGGCCCATGCCATTTTTTTAACAAAATAGTCCACACTAACTCCAGCTCGTTTCCCAAGGGAAAGCTTGGCAGCAGCCACATGGAAGTGATAAATGGCTGTCACATTTCATGAGCTGATGACTTAAAAAAGAGCCATTGGCAGGCACATTCCAGCATGTCAGACAGTTCATTACTTCCAAGTTGTCTTTCTTGACAACACTTCCTGACAAAATGGACCGTTTTCTTTTATTATCTGACAATTAGCAATGCTCTTCTGCCACTTCCTGGTGCACTCAATTACTCCTTTTGTTTCTTACTTTCTTGACTGTCCAAAGCAGAATTCACTGTCTCAAATCTATTTATGGTTAGGTTGAAGCAAAGGGAAGAAAAAGATGGGGAGGGAAAGGAGAAAGACTTTGATTTATAAGATAAGAATAGACAGCAGCAGCTGTTAATAATCATAAATTACTCTCCTGTAACAAATTATCTACACCACAGTGAGCAGTGACAGGTAATTTTGTGGACTAGGATAAGCCTCTGTGAAAAATGTGTATTTTATGATTGGCTTTTTGCAAATATTAAAATGAATATGATAAGTGTTATGTTAGAAAGTTATGCTGTGTTAATTTTCTTAAGTAGTGTGTTAAATATAGTTTTGGGTGATAACATAATGTTAAAATAGAAACTATGCTATGTAAGATACATCTTTAAAGAGAGGAATGAGGTACTCCCACTGAGATAGCAGCCACAGGACACCTGAATCTTTCAGGGAAAGAGAATTTATTCCTCCATTATCAGGAGAAATGAACTTCTTCCTGCCTCACTCCACACTGAAGACCCCATCAGGATTTGGAGGAAGAAGCTGACACTGCCCAGACAGAATCCTGTGTTTGAATGGAATTTATGCAACATGGATGAGGTGTATGAATATGCAACAGGCTGTTGCTTTTAAGGGTTAATCCTCTGTTAACGTGGGTCCTTTTTTGGGCTTATTTTGCCCAGAAAGAGGTACCCAGACTGCCTTTAACTCTTTGTTTCTATTGTCTCATATTGTCCTAATTCAAATTGTCCAAATTATTATTACTCTAATAACATTATTATTTTTATAACAATTTATTACTATTGAACTTCTAAAATTTTAAAAACAAGTGACATTTTTCACAGTCTCTGGCTGGGATAAGCCTCTCCCAGCAGCTGCTTTTCCTTGAGCTCAGGACCATTTCTGCAAAAGCAGTAAATGTTGGGACTCCTTGCTCCTGGGGCATTCGTATTTTCTGGAAAATCCCTTCACCCAGGATTGTTCTCTTGGGAAGCTGAGAATCCTCAGAGAAAAGGAAAACAATTCTTATCTCATTTGCTTCTCCTGTGTTTTGCTCATGTGGAATGTGTTTGGAGATTGTTTACCCACAGGTGATTGTTGCATTGGATTCTGCTGTGAGTTGTTTTCACTCTTTGGCCAATCAGGGCCAAGCTGTGTTGGGGCTCTGGAAAGAGTCAGGAGTTTTCATTATTATCTTTTTAGCATTCTGTAAGTGTCCTTTCTGTATTCTTTAGTATAGTTAGTTTAGTATTCTTTAATATAATATAGTATCATAAAATAATAAATTAGCCTTCTGAGAACATGGAGTCAGATTCATGATTCCTGCCTTCATTGGGGCACCCCAGAAATACAACACACTCCCAGCCTGTTTTGTATACACACCATTTTGTTGTAGTGTGTTGTTAAGTTTCTTGTGTTATTCCCCCAATTTATGTATTGTTCTCCCCTATTATGTGTAAAATGGTTTCGTTCCCCCAGTTTTTCCCGCCACTGCTAGCCCGTCAGCTAAGTTGCCATAGTAACCGCTATTCATAGTTGCCGATATGTAATTGCTCCTCCCCTGGTTTCGAACGAAACCATTTTACACATAATAGGGGAGAACAATACATAAATTGAGGGAATAACACAAGAAACTTAACAACACACTACAACATCATTTTAACCTGGTGCATTCAAAACACACATTAAGAAAATAAAACATTCTGTCCTTTCCTTCTCTTCCACCTTCCTTCCATGAAGGCACAGCTCCTGTCCCTCCAAACTTCAGCAATCTGTGCTCGAACAGAATCTCCCTCAATGTCACAACACTCCTAAAAGCACCACAGAGCTGTTTTCCAGCCACCATGCTGGAGAGACTGAACAGAAACAAAAACACTGCAGAAAAGCATCCAGGCATTCAGAAAAGGCCCTGAGGGCTCCTATCCCAGCCAGGCAGAGCTGCCAGGGGTTTTCAGCCTGCTGGAAATCAGGGCAGTTTCCTGGATTAGAATCAAGGGGATGGATTCCTCCTTGTATCGGGAAAAAGAGAATTACAAAATTAAAGGATTAAAGGAGAAGGTGGGAAAACATCTCTCAGATGTGAGATAGAGAGAGCCAATGCCATTGGCTAAGCTGCTGGACAGTAATTCCAGTTTTTGTTTACTCACAGATGTCCTTGCAATTCCTAGCTCAGAATAATGATAAGTTTAACATTAAAGGAAAAGTTCAGCTGTTCTCCATATCCACTGAGGGAAGAACATATTTATCAGTTCATTTCTAAAAAGCTAGAAAAAACTCCACCACTGTGTTCCACTTGGCAGGAGGGTGTAAAAGAACATTTTTAGGGCATTTAGAACATTTTAGAAGTTTTTAGGTATAGGTTTGGTAGGGCACTGGTAAGATCTCCCAGGAAACACCCAAGAATTCTGCTCTACTGCCTGCTATGGGCCAGCAGAGCCTTCTAGTACCAACACTCAAGGGAAAAAATTTAAAATTATGTCTTTTCAATGCTAACAAACTTACTAAAATATACTGAAGCTATTTCAAGACAGCCCCATGCTTGCAAGTGGGAGACCACAGAAATAACAAGACTTCCTAAGTCATAACTAGACTTAAAAGTCATAACTAGACTTTGATATACTTTGAACTAATGCACTAATTTCAGTGCTTAATACCCATTTCATTTCACATTTTATTCAATAAACAAAGTGATCAGCAAAACCAACAAAACAACACAAGACCCTTATACTCTAAATGAGCATAAATCAGTTGCAAAATTAAATCTTATCACTAAAGTTTGGTATGAGTTCAGCTCACTGCACAATTAGATTATTCAGAACAATATAATTTAAATTTCCCCCCCTGTTTATTAAACAGTATTTGTATTGTAGTCAGAATCATGTCCAACCCTGACCTGTTTGGAGCACTTGATCATGATGAGTGGGATATTAAAATGAGTGGGATATTAAAATGAGTGGGATATTAAAATGTAAACAAGCCTCCTGATGAAAAACATTTTCCAATTGCTACGTCAGTCTATCCCTGTAAAGAGTGACTACCCTTGACAAACTTCCTAATATAAAAATCCTGGTCAATAAAATTAAATCTTCAAATTTTCTTCGTAGTGAAAAGCTAAATAAACGTACTGCTTGATTATTAAGATATCAAAACTGTAGAGGTTACATGTACACTGAGCTAGAATCACAAAAAAGAACAATACTTAAGAGAAATATATTCCTATTGCTTGGATATTTAAAGGTTATTTTAACAGAAAGCAGAGATGAACTGGGAATCAAAATCCAACCTCACAGCAATGATTTACCTGAATTGGTGATTTACCAGCACCAAACCTGCCACACTCATCAGCATTGGTTGGGAAATCTTAAAATTGGAGAAATCTTAAATTGGCAAACCAAAACCACAACACCAACTTTATTGTGTTTAGTGGGAAGAGAACACAAATTATGGGCTTTTCTTAAGGAATAAATGTGTAATATTTACTAGAAATGTTCCTTTTTATACCATCCTGGGAGCTTTCCAGTCTTCCATTCTCTTTGATATTGACAATATTCTCTGTCACTCAAAATATATTAAATTTTCAAGAACTCAGAAGCAAGCAGACTTTCCTCATCTTCTCATAAAAATTAGAAGAAGAAACCTTTTATTTTAATAGAGCCTTTTCAAGCAATCCCAAACTTATCCAT